AGCGATTGTTTTTTTTACTCCATTCGTAGGGAGTCAGATATGAACATACTAGTCCAGGCCTTGGTTAGGGAATCGGTGGTGATTCCGCAAGGCATGCAACTGTTGGTCCCCTTGCATTACCGCAAACGATTACATTTGGCCAACCCTGATGCAGGATTCCTCCTTACACCGTCCAACACAGTGACCCGTGGGCTTACGCTGGTGGGCGCGCAGACGATTCTTCGGATGAGCCAGGAGGCATTTCTGCAAGTGTTAAATGTGGGTGCGGGGATGGCTGTGTCCAGATGGGTACTGTATCGGCTCACGCAACGGCTGTGTGTTGCGAGGTGGTTGACTTGGCGGTGGTGGATATTGCGTGTGTGGTGGAGGAAAGGGCCGAGTCGAATGGGAAATGGGCTGACACACTTTGCAACGAAAATCCGGATTTGTCTGAGGTGCAATGGGGTGAATTGCGGTCGTTGCTACTGCAATTTTCGGACGTTTTTAGTAAGGGCAAGTTTGACATTGGCCGTACTTCGCTGCTGCAGCACCATATTGATACGATTGATGCAGCTCCTATTCGCCAGAACTCATACCGTATGAGTCCTGTAGAAAAGGAGCATGTACAACAGGTGGTGGATTAAATGTTGGCGGCTGATATAATTTTACTGTCAACCAGCCCTTGGGGAGCCCTTGTAGTGCTGGTGAAAAGATCGGATGTGAGTAAGGTTCAGCGTCGATTTTTGGAAACTAAACAAGGTCTTGGTGGCAGCTGCATATCGGCTTCTGCATGTGGACGATTCTCTGGAATTTGTTGTCGGGGTTTTGGCAATTACCCCTGAACGAGTCATCTAAACTAAAAACTGCATTTCGAGCGACTCACGGACTGTATCAGTTCAGTTATTGCATTCGGCGCCTGCCGCATTCCAGAGGCTTATGGAGTTGGTTCTAGCAGGATTGCAATGGGACTCGTGCCTCATTTATTTGGACGACATTATTGTGTTAGGTCGTACGTTCGAGGATCAATTGCAACAGTTGCGAGTGGTGTTTTCCAGGGTACATTCAGCTAATCTGAAATTTAATCCCGCTAAATATAATTTTTACAATCCTCGGTACGATATTTGGGCGACATTGTGAGCGCTTTCGGGATAGCTATGGACCCCGACAAAACAGTGCAAACGAGATTGGCCGACCCCCAAGTCTGTGGGTGAATTGCGCAGTTTTGTCGGGTTTGCATCCTATTACCGATGGTGTATTCCATAGTGCGTTACTGTTGCAAACCCCTTGCATGCTTTGACTGCTAAAGAACAGAAGTTCAAACGGTGGGAGGAGGAGGAGGTAGCGTTTATTATACTATGCGATCGCCTCTCCCTTGGCTTATCCTGATTTCTCCCTGCCCTTTATCTTAGACATGGAGCCCAGTGACCCAGGTATAGAGGCTGTCCTGTCTCAGATGAAGGGTGGGGTTGAAAGGGTCATTGCATATGGTAGTTGCGTCCTGTTACTAGCTGAGCAGCAGTATTGTGTTACCCGCCGGGAACTTCTGGCAAAGGTCTGCTTCATTCAGCAGTTCAAGCCTTACCTATATGTCAGGGAATTCGTGGTCTGCACGGACCACGCGGCCTTGCAGTACTCCCTGCAAGTAAACCAGCCTTCCGGCCAGCTCTCATGCTGGCTAGAAATACTACAGGAATACTTCTTCCAGGTAGTCTATCGGAAGGGCGTAAGACACTGTAACGTGGATGCATTGTCTCCGTTGCCTCATGAAGAACTGTTTGCGTGTGCGTCGGGAGCTGGGCGGAGTAAACCTCCCACAGTTGGGTTGCTAATAGTTGTAGCTTCACTGAGTAATGCAGAACCAGCCGGGGTGGTTATACATAGAGACAGCACCTTGGGGCGCATGCATGCAGAATGGGGGCAGCTGCAGGTGGATGACGGTTCATTGTTGTCTTTCCGGCGTCGCGCGGAAAAAAAAAAATTCTCCTGCCTCTGCGGGAGTGTCGCGGGTTGTTCTCCATGACGAACTTATAATGCGATGGGATGAGGTTTCACACCATCGTTGCCTAGTGGTTCCCACTTCCCTGCGGGGTAAGCTGACGCGAGTGGTGCATGAAACTAAGCTGCTGCACCTCGGGCATCGTAAAATTCTGTTGACCTTGCAACGGGACTTTTACTGGCCGGGAATGTCGACCGTTGTTCATCACCTAGTCGCAGGTTGCATGGAGTGTATGCGCCTAAAGCTCCCATTGCAAAGGTATTAGCCCCTGTTGCAGCCCATCACAGTGTCCCGAATCAAAGCATTGGTTGTGCTAAACATCCTGGGCCCCTTTTCCATGTTCACAAAAGGGGAACAGGTTTCTCCTGGCGGTGGTGGAGTATTTTACTCGGTGGCCAATGGCTTGGCCATTGCTGGACCAACTGCTGCATCCACTGTGGATGCATTCCTACACGGCCACGTGTTTTATAAGGGTGCCCCAGAGCAGCTTCTCACAGACCAGGGTCGAAATTTCTCGTCTAAACTGCTGCCCGAAGTGTGTGACACATTCGGTACAAAAAAATTATAAAATTGCCATTCCATCCTCAACCGGATGGAATGGTAGAATGTTTGAACAGGACAGTAACATCTATGCTCTGGCACAGACGGACTGGGACTTGTATGTTCTGGGGGTAATCGCGGCATACAGAATAGCCCCACATTCCTCTACGGGATTCGCCCCTTTTTTCTAATGTATGGACGGGAAAATGAACCCCCCATAGAGGCTCAACTTGGTACGACCTCAGAGATAAAGCAGTCGTCCGTACCCGTGCCACTACAGGATACACTCGGGCATGTGTCGTAAGCGCACGTGGCAGCAAGATAAAATACTGCCATGGCGCAAGCCGCTAACAAAAGGAACATGGAGCGGCGTGAGCACGTGCTTCCATGGGCAGTCGGGGACAGGGCATGGTTACATTGCCCGCAGGTGCCGCTGAATACGTCCCCCAAATTACACCGGCCATGGCGAGGACCGGTGGAGATTATAGAGGTTAAATGGCCGCAATGCGGATCAGGGGCCGAGAGCCATCGAGAAGATTCAAGAGAAGGGGCATGGCCAAGGGTCAAGTGATGGCCACGGTGGGAATAAAAAGGGTTGAGAGGAGAGGCTTGAGGCTGCTGTTGGAGTCGGGTTCTTTGTCTGTCAATTGTACGTGTCTTCAATAAAAAAAAAATCACAAAAGCAGTGTCTCCTGGAGTCGTTACATATGTAAGGACCTCCAAACTCCGCAAATTCCCAGTCGCAGCTTCAAAAGTATCTCCCTATTCATAAAAATATAGATAATTGAATCCTAGGCTTGGCTTGCTCCCCACTCCAAAATTATCACAGAGCTGCGTGATGAGTGAGATATTAACCAGTTCTGGATTTTACCTTCATCAACCCGCACTGACCCGCACAAATAAGTTTGGCCAACTAGCCTCAATGGTCAACACGATGTGGGGAAGCCTTCGTCCAGAAGTGTATTGGTGAGGATCTGTAAATTATTTACAAATAGATAAGCACACAAGTCGCCTTCCTCATAGATTGTCTCTCCACTTCAACAATAAAAGCATTGTGTACACAATCTATTGGCCCGGGGCCTTTTTGGGATTATATAATTCTAGCATAACTGTAATCATTCAATGCAATCAAACTCTGGACCGGGTTTGGCATGCAGTGTATAATCAGTAGTCAGGCTCGCTTGAATGAACGCAGGTTAACAGCTAGGTGTTATAGACAAGGAACCTCCATGATATGGATCTTCGTCAGACGAAAAATTATTTGATGCATAAACAAGTCCAGCATTTCCTCTACAGAATCAATGCTGCTAAAATGATGCACTCCCAGAAGACTGTGGAGCCAATGGGATCTTTATGAATTGATGTATTAGGTGGAGAGATAGATGTGTAAGGAAGTTATGACTGTTTATATTATAGTTATATTCTCCACAACGAGTCTAATGATTATGTTTCTGTTGTGTATTATATAATTTGGCATCTAACTAGGACCCATATCATTATCAAAGGGTCCTTGCCTATATACATAGGGCAGGACATCAGCCTTACCTCAAGCAAGTCTGACTCGAATACCGAGTCACTGGGTGTGGAAATTAGTTCAGAGTTTGCTTTTACCAACTCAATAGTTTTCAAACGATGAACTCCCATGTCGTGGGGCTGATGGGATGTGTACATTTTTTCTCATGATTTTTATAGAGGCAGATATATGATGGAGACGTTTTATCTGCTTATATGTTTTTGTGACTAACATTCTCCACTTTTTATGTGTAAATTATGAATATCACCAGCTGATCTGATGCCCCGCATTACAATGGATACTTCTGCATGCGAAAACACATACAGGCTCATAGTAATATCGTTGAAGACATATCAAATGTAGACACATTTACGTAATTATTCTTATCAATAAAATGTACGGCACTAATATTTAATCACTTTAACATCACTATTCGTGAAAAATAAATTTAAAATGTTTGAAAGTCATACTCTATGTTATGTTTGCTTGAGAGTTGGGTGCGTCTCATGAGAGCAAAATTTTTGTAGCATTTCCTGTACTCTCTTGAAGTCGCGTGTTTATTCTAGCCTTTAACAGCTGATTTCTTGTCATTTCATCTTCTTAACTCGTTTAATTTCTAGTTTCTAATTCAATGCAGTCGTTTCTCCATACTGTGTTATTTTATCTCACTCATTGCAAGTCATTCGAGTTAACCTTCGAAGTGCTGTGCAGTCTCACGAGATATGAACTTTTTTTTTTACATATTTAAACGGTTAATGTGTTTTTTCATTTCTATTTCAAGCACCCATAGCCATAATAATGCAATACCCTGCACAGTTATTACACACTGACTCAAGACTATCATATTTTACTTGAATCTACGGAGTTGCCCTCACAAGGAGAGAGTCACAGACTCCACTGAGGGTGGAGGTAACACGGTAACAAAGCCCACGCGTGCTACCTGCACGGCCTTGCGAGTGGCCTTCATCCGCCTCCGCCTTCTTCCTCCGCCTCCGCCTTCTTCCTCTTCTCCTCCACCGCTCGCGTCTCCGCAACGACTCCATTCTGTAAGAGACGAGGCAACCAAAGGAGGCTCAACTTCCTATGCGGCTTCCTCTCAGCCCCACCACACACGGAGCCCTCCACAGTGATCGTTCTATGACTGCCCACCAGAAAAGAGTCCAAGGAAGTCGGCTTGAAAGAAAAAAGTGCGTGAGAAGAGAATCATCCCACCATGATGGTTTGTATTTAATGAGATGTTGTTGTAGTAGCACTCTTATGGGTTCAGGTCATGGTATTGTTCGCTCCCGAGTGGCTCCAATTCAACCCACGCGGGCCTCACCTTCCGTGCCTGATGCTCATCCTCCAGTGTGATGAACTTATGACCAGTGTGGTCTCCTGCGATGGTGCAGTCCCTGCACACTAGGCTGAGGTCTTGCTGGCAGTAGAACTTGAGCTCCTCTTTGTGCCTCTTGCACTTGCGTGCTTCAGGGTTCACATTTGGTGAAACCAGGATGTGATCATTAAACTTCGCCCTCTCCAGGTGAGGCGCGAGGTGCTCAGTGCAGAAGGACGTGTCACACTTGAGGCAGGTCTTCACTGCAGGCATCTGGCTTTCTGGGCAGTGGTTACAGAAAACAACACCGGCATCAGCAGCAGCCATGGTCTCAGTCACTCGCAGCTGCTCTATGAGGTTGGCGATCGTCACGTTCCTGGTCAGCTGGGGTCGTCGAGGGAAAGTCTTGCGGCACTGCGGGCAGCAGTAGGAATCTGCCTCCTTCCAGGCGTCTTCCAGGCACTGGAGGCAGAAGGAGTGGCCGCAGCTCAGCGTGGAGGGGCAGTCAAACGTGTCCAGGCAGATGGAGCAGGTCAACTCACGGTCCACGTTCTCAGCGGGAGCTGTGCTCGCCATGACCCGAGGATGCACCCAAAATAGTTCCTCACTGTGACTCAGAGAATATATTTCAACAAAAATACTTTATGTTTATAATATCGTGAGATGTTGATTACCATTGACGAGGTGTGTTCTGTTCAGGAGACGCTGTGTGCGCAGCTCACACAGCGGAGGCGAGCAGGGAAATGAACTGAATTCACCTGTAGTTAAGTTATAAATATCCCGAGACACGCCCTGGAATGTTCCACAACGCGGCCGAGCTCACATTTGTAGACGTGGCGTTACAGTCACGCACTGTGTTATGTTTGTACAAACAAAATTTCAGCAATAGCAGCCAGAGACACAGCGATAATGGTTTGTCCCACAGGCTGATTGACTGGCTAGGGTCAGGCTGGGTGCATTGCCACAGTGGAACAAACATTCTCGTGTAATCGTCTTCAACCTTTGTCAACTAATATTTTAACTACTGGCTTCATGCTTCCTCTGTTTATCTGTCAAATATTGTTTTAATGTATTCCTATGAGACCGTTTAATTCTATGTGGATGGTGGTTATATGTATGTTGATCTTCTTTCACAACGTCCGTAGCCAATAGTTCTAATAATTATTAAACTGTTAGAATAGTTTAATAATATTTTGATTTCAAGCTTTCGTGACTGCAGGGATTCATATTTATTGTTTCTTTTCTACGTGACTTTACCGAAAGAACCAAGCATATATAGTTTAATAATTTATAATGATAAGTAAATGGTGATTTAATAATTATTTAATACTTTCGTTACTAATCATTCCATAATAATTAAATAATCATTTAGTAGTAGTAATGAAACAACAATAATCATTTCACAATTGCATTTAGTAATGATGATTAAATAATAATTTTCTGATGCCTTATAGTAATACTATGAATTAAAAATAACTAAATAAAAATGCTGTCATCATTATTTAATAATAATAACAACGTCATAATAATAATTTGCATTTACAAAGCGCCCTTAAACAATCTCTCTCAGGGCCCTATGCATGGCAAGGCAGAAAATCGTGAAGGCCACCTGAGGAAAGAAGTGAGAAGGACATTTGAACATCACTGAAGGGAGAAAGACATTTTAAACAGAGACGGCTTTAGTGGAGATGTGAAGATGAGCAGCGTCTCGGAAGTCCCCTTGACCTCGAAGGGCAACGAGTTGCAGAGTTTAGGCGCCGCGATTGCCAAGGCACCATCACCCCCCACGTGTGTAGCCTGGAGACCGTGGGACGGTGAGCAATGCACAAGCTGAGGATCTTGACGATCTCGATGCAATATTCGTTGAAGCAGGTCATGAATGTAGGGAGGAGCAAGTCCATTTAAGGCAAGGGCGAGTCGGTTGGCGCTGCCTTTTTCTCGTTTGTGTCATTGCCTCTTCCTTCTGCGAGGATCTGTGTTTACGCTTTGCGGTTCTTTCTTGGTCTCATTATCTCCTTCTGAAAATATGCGAAACGGGTTTATTCCTGGGGGAGATGTTCTCTCCCTGGTGCATGGCAGCAGGTGCGTGGTGTGTGTGGATGGTAAGTAGCGTGTGTGTGGTGGGTAGTGTGTGTGTGGATGGTGAGTAGTGTGTGTAGATATATAGGGTGGTGAGTAGTGTGTGTGTGGATGGTAAGTAATGTGTGGATGATGAGTAGTGTGTGGATGGTGAGTAGTGTGTTTATGGATGGTGAGCGGTGAGTAGTGTGTGTGGATATGGGGTGGTGAGTAGTGTGTGTAGATATCGGATGGTGAGTAGTGTGTGGATATAGGGTGGTGAGTAGTGTGTGTGTGGATGGTGAGTAGTATGTGAATGGTAAGTAGTGTGTGTGGATATGGGGTGGTGAGTAGTGTGTACATAGTGAGTCATGAATATTTCTTATCAAGGCTCACAGAAAAGAAACGTGCATGTAAAAATACTTTACACGGGGTTACAAACCTCACGATGCACCCCATGGAATGTGCTCAGATGTTTGAGGAATGTAAAAACAAGCCCCGCATCACACAAACCTGTTTAGATGTACCTGTAGATTCACGCCGTTGGCTTTAACCAGTGCCAACAATGGACTTTGTAAGAACATTATCACAATCGTGAAAATAACACATCCTGAGATGCGGGCTTTCGATTCCAAGCAGTCGCCTGTGATTAAATGCGATTCTCCGGTGAAACGAGTTGATGGTTTAAGCCCCATTATCAATGCCAGGCACGAAGACAAACGCATACAGAGTTTGGTTCTGCGATTTATTTGTCCAAAGTCCAGCTCTGAGCATTGTAAAGTAGTGGTTTGACCGCCGTGCGTCGAAACATCGATGGTAATTTTGCATCTTTAGACTGCCGTACATCAAAATCGGAATATTTATATTGCATGAGGAATGCGATGACCTGTAAAGCTTTTTTTATCAGATGTCCAGATGGAGCACGGGGGTAATAACGTTACAACAACAAACAGTACACGCACATGATAGTAGCGCAAGTACAAGGAAGGTAACCAAATCACCATAACACATCTACAGTATAAATATAAACGTTAGTAGTTCCGTGCGTCTGTTTACATTCGGGGATTGCCAGAAAGTGCCTGCTTTATAAACCGGGTTTTTTCGGAATCCAGCGATTTATTCGACATGGCTCCATGTTCTAGATTTAAAGCTTTCGTGACTGCTAGGATCCATACTCTTTGGTTCTATTGGGTAAAGTCACGTAGGTGACTTGAAATAGCTATTTCAATGAGCCATTTCAATGCTAAATTATATGCTAATTCCTTTGTCAAGGCGCGTGGTCTTTTTCTTCTCACACAGCTTAAAGGTCGTGATCTAAGCGTGGCTTCTTCCACTCCTGCGCTGTCCTCCAGACAGTCTCGTCCCTTCACCTGATGAAGGCTGCTTGTGTTGTGGCCGAAACGTCGTGATTTTTTGTTATTTTATTTTCACCTACGTGACTTTACCCAATAGAACCAAAGAGTATGGCTCCATGTTATCATGGACTGTGTCTGTACCGCGTTGTGGCAAACGGTGTACGAGTATGCACCACGTTGATACACAGCTGCTGTTGTTGCACAACATTAATGGTTGACACGTAATCAATGTCTCTTTTATTTCACCATGTACGATTTGTCACCGATGTGACTTTTCTTTGACGACAGACCCTTCTGATTATTTTATCAAAATACCCTCTCCATTTACTGCAAAAATCTCAGATATAGTACATGGTGAAGGTATGCAAACCTGTCAACCCCTTATCAGTGCCCTACCTTATAACGGACCAATTCAGACCTTATTGGTCACCCCACCCTTATAAATCTCAACGTTCATCCTACAAAGTCCAATCACAAGGGAGAAACACAAACAAATAGAGGAAAATATATTTTTAGTCAAGAATACGGGTAAACCGTATGGGTTAACAGCCATTGGTATGTAACAACATTACACATCACACTATACAGCACACTGTGCACTGTATATAACTCAGCTATAGTACATAGTGAGGGTACGTAACAACATTACAAACACGTGTACTATATCTGAGCTGTACACAGTAGATAGTGTGATGTGTCATGTTATGGACAACCTCATCACTTGGGTCCAGGTTACGGGCCCCCCCAGCTTGTAAATATGAATATAAACACACCCTGGCATAGCTACTCAGTGGTGTGAGTCACTCTCTCTCTCATTTAGAAACAGGTGCAGGATACTGTACGAGGGAAGGTTCGAGAAGGGAAGTAGAAGGCGGTAGAGACTGCTGGAAGTTACCCGGGCGTGGCCGCGAGGGTATTGAAGGGAGAGCGAGGCCCGCGATTGGGGCGCTGGCTTTGGGGACTGAAAGTCGACTGCAGGTGGACGACATTGGAGCCGCATGTCGGAGATCGACACCATGGAAATCTTCAGGACAACTGTCCGAGATCTACGCGGCGTTAAACCATCAAGAAGGACTGTTTGAGATTAATTTAGTGGAAACCACCGGGATTGCGGATAGAAATAGCCTCGTGAAACGTGTTAGTCGTACTCTCACCTTGTAAATACGTCATCGTAAAATAAATCCTCGAGAAAATGTAACCTGCGAAGGAGCTTATTTACATATTCATGAAAAAGTTGTAAATACGTCTGCATTTTGTATATGAATGAGGGTGACTCACATCATTGAGTAGCAATGCGAGTGTGTATTTATCTTTATATTCATGAATGAGTTGTAAATGCGTCTGTATCCTATCTAAATGAGAGAGAGAGTAAGCTAATAGACTCGAATATGAGAAGGCAAGGGCGATGATGTGTAGGGTCCGTGCAATATGTTTGGTGATAGGTAGGATAAAAAGGAGGTGAGGGGGAAAGTAGGAAAGTCTTCTTCTGCAAAATCATCGCGGTCCACGTGGCAGTAGGGTCAGCCGTTTGAGACGTCCGTGCAATGAGCCCAGCACAGCTAGACTCAACCCTCTCCGGAGACGACTCACAGTATCGCCTTTCTACAGCGTTCAGCGCAGCAGAGTGGAAGCAATCGTAAGTAGAGGAGAGGTAAGTTTGGGCGATTGAATAGAGGGTAGAAAGCGGAGCTATAAGCAGGATCAGCTGAATCTGGGCTCCTCGAGGAATAGGTTAGGAGGGCCTGCTGACTCGCACAGACACTCGCAGTTAGCGGGATACTCGCGGGGAATAAAACCACTAATAGGATAAAGCTGTGTCGTAGTCGCTGTGAGTGCGAGGAGGGAGATGGAGTGTTTGGTGTTCGCATACCGGTACGAGTGTGTACAGTACTGTTTTGCGCTCGTGCGCATACGCAGCTGTTTGCGGCGGGTACGAGAGTGAAGAGTGCTTGGTGGTCGCGCGCACGCACGGTTGTTTACATCGGGGCAGAGCGCTTAGCGTGCGCGTGCCCACGCGGCTGTTTACGGGTGTGCTGTTCGTCGGGCGCGTGCCCAAGCGACTGTTTTCGGTGGTGTAGAGCGCTCGTGTGCCTGTGCGACGGTGTTGTGGTCGCGGGCCCGCGCGATTGCTAATCGCGAAGTAGCGAGCTAAAGCGCCGAGCGCGCGCGTATTCGCGCAACTGTTCGAATGGGCTCTTTAACTCAGAGCCGGGCGACGCTCCTCAATCGGCGGCGCGCGCACGGCAAACGTCCCGCCCGCCCATCCCTCGACCACAACCCCCTCGTGTGCGATTGGTGTACGGGGCTGGGCAGGGGGTAGAGGCGTGTTTTTTATTACCGGGGCACGTGGAGCGGGGGTGGGAGGGAGACACGCACCGCGCCTGTTTGTTTACGGGCGGGAGGGAGTTTTTACGGGCGAACGCGCTCCTCGCGGTACACCGCCTCGCAGCGCACCGCGAGCGTAAAGCGACGCGCCCTACCCATCGGTTAAAACATGCAGACGGGGTCAGCAGCACAGGAAGACGGGGTAGTGGAGGTCGCTAGCCCGAACTCCACAGAGCAGCCGGGGGGTAGTGGGATAAATGT